TGTGTGTGTGTGTTTAAGTGTGTGTGTGTGTGTGTGTGTGTGTGTATGTGTGTGCGCACGTGCGTATGTCATGTGTGTGGTGTATATTCAAGAGCAAATATAATGTTTATGTAGGAGAGTGGATGAGTATGTGAGCGCTTGTAGGAGGGAATCATCCGTGCACATGATATGCCAGAGGATATATAAAATATGTTCCATATTTCTTTATCACAGTGGGGAAATCTGTTTTACTAAAATACATAGATACCGTTAATACACGCCTGTACCACGACCTAGCGTACAATACGATAGTTTATTATTTTGTCTCCAAAGTCGTACCATTTTTGTAGGTCGTACGTATGACACGGGGTGAAAGTAAGTGAGTAAGTTTATTCAGTGTTTAAGGCCATTGGCCCACATCACATCATATAAAAGACTCATTTGTTAAATAAAGTTTCCATAATGAAGGAGTACAGCTTGTTTGCATATCTCTTATCATGGGTCAGACATTGCATATTTCTGTCACTGGGCCGAGTCAGGCTGGCAGGAATTAACAAATTTCCTTTGATAGGCAGAATATGAAAAATAGAAAATAATGCGAAATGCATCTTCAATTTCATGAGAGTTACACCTCTCATATAAGGTTGAGTTTATTAATTTCCACCGATAGAGATTGCTATTTATTTGAAGGCAACGAGTTTTTAACAAGACTATGACTCTTCTGTTCCGTGGGAGGTTGATGATGTACTCGGCTTTTTCTGGAAATGAATTGAAAGGGAGAATAAATTATATCTACTTGCGACCGACTTCTTCCTCTATGTTCTGCACAGAATGATCATCAAGCCTACTTTTTACTCCACTGAGAAATAATCTAGTGCTTCCAACACTTTGAGAAAACCAGGCATATTCAAAACTCAGGGAAAACAATACTTCAGTAGCCCAGTGGACTCTGTCCAGTTCACCAGAACGATATACAATATAGTTGCATGTAACATTTCTTTGGATGTCTTCCATTTTCTAAATGTGTAAGTCAGCGCCAGAATTTAATGACGCAATATATGTAATCAGAACATAGATTGGTTCTGCCCACCTCTCTTGGAACGAAACGTTTGTGTGCAGCTTTGCCAAGACCCAGAAAGGCTTTCCAGAACTTTACCTGAACATTGTCAACTACGTCTCAATTTTGGTACCCCAAATTTCAGAGTAAAAAAGCAGCATTTAATTAATTTTTTATATCAAACATGTTTTTTGCTGTTTCGAAAAGTATTCCTTGGTATGAACTGAAAAGCGTTCTTGTTGGAGAAGCAATCAGTTGTGGTTTACAAGCTCGTTCTTCTAGCGTTCATATCCAGCACAGACGCAATGAAAATGAAATGCCCAAGTCACTATAATGAGAATACATAACACAAAAACACACAACAAAAACAAAAATAAAAATAAATCAAAACAAAAGTAAACTAAAGTCACGAAAAAACAAAAACAAAAGAAAACAAACAAAAACAAACAGGCAAAAAACAGCAACAAAAACCAACAACCAACAACAAACAAGCAGTCTCAGTACTTGGCAAGCGGAAAAAGGTCTAAGGCACACCAAACTTATTACCCGGTATCCAACCAATACGCTGAAAGAGACTCAATGCCAAAAGAAAACCCGGCAAATATTTCTGCTGCAAAGTTTCGTAATTTTATGCAATGGTTATTTGATAAAGATGGCGTCATTACCCCTAAAATGTATTCCTACTTACAGTCAATGAATGCCCAGAAGTCTTTCAGCTATTACGTCAAAACATCGAGTGTTTACTAAAAACACATTGGCTTCATTCTGAATACAGCGGGACTTTACTTTGTAGGTCTCTTCCATAGACCTGGATCATAATATCCTAGATCATACAATATTCTATGAAGCATAAATATAGATCTATCCGCGATTCAAGACGTCATTCCGTCATCTTTGTTAGGATGAATATAACACTTCTGGTGCCCTTGTCAGGAAAAAAAGGCGAATTGCGTTTTAGTTTATTCTCATCTTAGACTTTTTTGTTCGTTCTTCCCTTTATTTCCTGCAGCAAGATTTTTCTAAACGAGTCATAAGGCTTATTCCGTTATGCATCTCACACTCAGTTGCACCTGTTGTTTTAGGTTGAGCTTTCAAAACTAATTTGATCATAATATCGTAACATCTTCTGGAATCCCACCTCTGTTGTAGCTAGGAGTTACGAGCTTTATTATTTCAGTGCCTAGATCTTCTAGTGTGACGATCATTTCAACTGGAATATTATCTGGCCCTGTGGCTTTTTCTTATATCTTTTTCTGAATGACAGCTTATATTTATGGTTTCAGTATTGCTGGTCCATTTCTTTCCTTATTAACGAGTTTATTAATTATTCTTAAAGAGTTCTTCTATGTATTCTGACTCTAACCATCTGTTTTAAACGCTCTCCTTGTTCATAAAAATGTCTTCCCTTTTTGACTTCACGCCCACTGTATTTGAAAAATTGTTTTGCAGAACGGGTGTGGGTAATAAGAGAGGGATATGAATCGAATAACGAGAATCGAGGTATGAGTGCAAGTGGCTGTCTGTGTTCGAGTGAGGG